GACCCCTTGAAACAGGACCCGACCAAAAGAGACACATACGCCGAGCCGCTACCCTACACGGTATGTTCTCAATGTGTCGAGTACAAGCCTCTTTGGAATTCTTTCCGTAGTCATTTACCTTGAAGACACACCTTGATAAGTATAGAATTTGACGTGAACTGAAAAATAAGTACATGAAAAAAGGAAAATTACAAAGAAAATACATAGGAAAAGAAAAAATTACTCACAAAAATTTTACCGGAAACAGACTTACAGAAAGTAAAAACATTTTCACGGAACGGAACGGAACGGACCGGAACGGCAACGGAACGAACGGAACGGAACGAACGGAACTGTATCGGAAACGGAACGGACGGACCGGAACCCCGGAAGCGGGAACCGGAACGGAACCCGGGTGCGGAACGGAATCGGAACGGGACGGAACGGAACGGAACGGAACGGACGGAACGGAACAGGAACGGAACGGAACGGACACGGAACGGAACGGAACGGAACCCCCCGGGGGGAACGGAAAACACTGGGAGACCCATTTTTTTTTACTCAAGTTATTTTTGCAGTTTCTGTTAAAACTGATTGTAGACAACTTCAAAGTTTCAGACGCGAAAAAAATAACTAATTCTTTCAAGTTAGAGGACGTCTATACGTAGTCCATTTCTCTCTGTGACGACATAAGTTCACAAACAATTTCCTAGCCAGACTAGACTGTAGTATTCCGTCTCTGCTGCGCACGAGGAATTTTTCCAATTGTAATCACAAATACGAAACCGTCTAGTCATAATCATTTGAGATTGTAACTCGAAGTGATGTAAGGTCGCGGCTGATTATATTCGTCTGACAGTTTGAAGACCATACATGAGAGTCGCGATACGGTCTTCCCTAAGTAAGGGGGGTGTAATAATCCGGAATATTTTCGGAGCAGATCTTCTGAAACTCTCTCCTCAGCTTGTTCCAGTTACGTCCGTCCTCCTCAAAGACTCGTCCGTCGTCTGTCCTGGTCGTCGACGTCGCTCGCCTCCAATAATCAGGCCGCCCGACCTATTGCGGGCCGGAAACTCGTCCGTCGGCACGTCGAGCCCCCGTGCCCGTCCCCGAACCGTCGAGGACGTTTGACGACTAGCTCTGCACCTTTGTTAGTATTTGCCCTCCCGACACCTTCTTGTTGGGAGTGGCAGATAAAGTTGGAATCGGACTTTCTTTGTGCCCCCGCGACTCCGTACTTGTTAGGAGTGCAAATATAAGCCGGGTGTCCGGTCATCTCCGGAGACGTACGAATTTTGTTGGAATCGAGACATTTCGCGAGGAGCTAATTTGCTAAGGACCAAAAGTAGAACGCGTTCCAACACGGATGGCTTATATTATCTTAATTTATCAATAGTTGCGTTTATTGTTATCAACAAGAATTTTTGATAACGAGCTCTAGACAGACCCCGAAGAGTATATCGAGAATGTATCGAGTTGAATTCTGTATTTAATTCTGTCTTTCCCCACCTCTTTTATCGCTTACACTACACATAGCATAAAAAAGCGAACCACAAAAAAATTAGACAAACTAAACAATATAATTAAAATAAATAAACAAGACAGACAACATATGTACATACATACATCCATGCACGATACATACACGTACACAGTGACACACACGCCATACCAATGTGTGTGTAACCCTGGGGTTACTAGCCCCAAATGTCCATTAACCAAAAACGAAACACAACGGCTCAGTTTCAATTAAAAGCAGCGACAAAAAGAAAAGTCTTCAGCCTGGATTTAAAAGTAGTCAGAGTTGCAGCGGACCTGCAGGTTTCTGGGAGTTTGTTCCAGATATTTGGAGCATAATAGCTGAACGCTGCTTTACCATGTTTAAAAGCAGCATTCAACATATAACACCCTCATTTTGTGATGCATCAAAATTAGGTTATGTCTGCTTGTAACCCCTTGTTATCCCTACGGTCTCCGTGTGGAAAGGTTTTATGATAACCACAACTTTTGTGGACCAGTGGTTTTTAGAAGCCTGAAGAGTTTAATGTCTCCAAAGTCATTAAAGAAGGAAATTGTTTGCTATAATAGACACATGTTTTATTTCTAGTCCCTGTAATAATTGTTGAGACCTCTTTTATCAAGGGGTGACTTGACCTGATCTACTCTGACTTTATAGCAAGTGTAAGTGGCCTAACATGATGGACAGTTCCCTTATTTCCTTTCCATCTGGTTCTTTTCAGAGCAATGATTTAAAGTGACTTGATGGAAGTGACAGGATTCCACACCATTTCATTGATTTAATTGTGTTTTCCCTTCATTGTCAGATGCTCTGAAAACTTGATGAACTGCTCCAACCTCGCCACAGTCTTCGCTCCGTGTCTTTTACCGCCTCCAAACAAGGCCGAAATGTCTGAAGGGCGGCTTAAACTCAGAGTTCTCGTCCTACACACCTTCATTGAAAGTCCTCACTTATTCGGTAACAAACCAAATCTTCTTGAGCTATATGCTGTATTTAAGGCTGTTTGAATTGACTGTATACGTGCAATGTTGTAAGATCTTTACTGTTTGCTTTTAGGTGTGATTCCCAAAGCCGTAATGGACAGTATGGAGTTTCTGATCAACTTCCCTCTTCAGGACGCTAGGAGAGGACACAGAAAGACACAAAGTTTGAAAGGTAAAGCAGTAGAAATTGTGCCGTTAGCTCTGACTTAAAATGAACGCCTCTTTAATTTATGTTCTCAAATCTTTAGAGAAGACGGCACCCTGGATTCCAGTGAGGTCCAAGGTCAAGCCGGCCGTCTCTGAGCAGAGTAAAGAGTCGACGCCCGGGGAGAAACCCACGCTCAGGAGAAGCATCGGCATGGAGACCTTCCCCAACATCCTGCTGTTTAGGAGCTGTAAGCCTTATGCACAATATGAAAAAAAGACTGCAGCAGATGTACATTTTGGGACAGTATGTAACGCTTTTAATGTTTACAGACCAACGTTTCAAGCCTGACGCGGCTTTGCCGGACAGTCACAGCCTCGATGGCATAGAGGCAGGCCCACAAGAGACACTAAAAAGGTAAATTATTAAAGCATGATTCACTTCATTTCAAACGGTGTTCATATACAAATGAAGTTATTATGGCAGGGGTAAAGGAGATTTATGGTTTCTACGTACTTAATATGTAACCTGGGGTTGAGGTAGCAGATGGATGATGTAGTAAGTAATTTTATAGTGTTGTGTCAAAGCTTAAATGTAATCTGATATTGCGAAAAACAACATATACTGAGCTGTGCAACTAAAATAGGTGTTTTTTTTTTTTTTACTGGCTTTAAGGTAAAAACGACCCAGTCCCACATCTAATGGACATGCATCTGATATTTCTTTTTTGTCTTGTGGCCCTTTTTTGTTTTCAGAGACCTGCCTTTTGTCAATTTCTCACGATTTGCCAGAGGACACGGTTCAGAGAGCTCTCCTGTTCTCACTGGTGTCGGGAAACTGCAGCTCCCACCTTGGAGAAAACGCATTTCAATTTAATATTAACAATATTAAGAAACAATGTGGGTTGCTCTAAGTTACTGCAGCTCATCAGGTTATGATGTCTGATTGCCCGGTTTATATTTACTGGGAGGTTTAGTGTCCTAACTTGAATAATTTTCAAAGTTTTAATTAATTTATGTGTTTTTAATATTTATTTGACAACAGGACTTTTGTAGGTGAACCTTCACCTTTCATTTTGAGTGAATAAATGTTCCAGTTTTTTTAATTTCTTTTCTTTTTTATGTTTAACATAATGATAATAACTGTTAAATGGTTATGGTTAGGAAATGAATATCAGTTTATCTTTGATGCAAACCAAAGATTTAAACTCAAAATGCCAGAAATCGAAGCATACAGGAGTTTGTTTAATCGGGTTAAAAAGGTTAAAAAAAACAACACACCAATAAATTAAATAATGGAATAACGATATTTTGATATACATTTACTCAAAAGCACAAACATACATAGATTTCTACTCTGATTTGTCTTTGACATAATTACAGTTTAAGATGATTATGTTACATGTTAGCATGATTGCTCGGTGCAGGGTTTCTGCAGGTCATCCACAAATAATTGCCAAATACATACAGCCAATGAGAAGCGAGGATTTGTTGTATCATAGCAACAACTGCATCTGAACCGTGAAGCGAGGAGGATTGCATCCTGCGTGTTGCATAATGGTCACTTATGATGACAGTGGAAATAAAGTGTATCCCTTCAAAATAAAGTGGGAGAAATAAACAGGCGACGGAAACGTTAAGATGAAATGTTTTTAGAACAACTAGAAATAATTGAACACTACAAATATGATGTATCAGCTTAAATTAGAATGGATCTCGAAGGGAAGAAACAGGTTTTATAGTAGTTTTGTCATCGTGTGACGAAAGCAAGCTTTTATTCTGAAAAGCCAGAAACATGTTTTTTCTGGCCAGCTTGACACAGGTCTCGCGCAGTACGCAGGTCCCCATCAACACACACACGGTAAGAAGCAATACTGTAACATTTCTGTTTTGGTCATTTCTTATGTTTACTAGCAATACAATCACATTTATATGCAATACATGTTATACAATTCTGCTTTTCTTATAAAAATATGGTGTTTTTTCTGCTAAATAGACATTTCATAGGCTATTTATATGTATTTACATCGGCCTTGGGTCTGTTTACAGAGTAAGTGGCGCACCAAGACGTAATTCCATTTCCAGATAGTGCAGCATTTTACAGTCTGTATGGAATACAACAGATCACATGAAGGCATAAAATGCAATCAGTTTTTCCACATTAGGGGATCTGTTCTTAATTAGCCTGTTATGTGTATCTAACAGGAAATGCAGCTGTGTTTGCACATCATTACTGTCCATCTTGTGTGCGGTAGTCTGATGTGTTTCTCCCCCGCAGATGACGGACATGATCTCGGCGGTGCGGCTCTCGGTGCTCAGCCTGCTCCTGGTCCTGCAGCTGGGCAGAGCTTCAGCCCGGAGCCCCCACACGACAGACCAGGTGTCCGAGGCCGACATCCAGCGCCTCCTGCACGGCGTCATGGAACAGCTGGGCATCGCTCGGCCCAGGGTGGAGTACCCGGCTCACCAGGCCACCAACATCGTGGGTCCTCAGAGCATACAGGGTCAGTGACACACACGTGTGATCTTTATCTAGAGGAGATGAACCAGGTGAAAACCAGGAAGAAGATTAATAGCTAAAATAATAAAGAATACACTTTATTATAAGGGACATTTGGACAGTATGGATAGTACAATATGAGGCATGAATTGTGTATTTAACCATACTGTATTTTAAATGTTAGTGTATATATTCACTCACTTCATCTCACTATGATTGAACAACCCAAACAGTAATATTAAAATAACACTAACTGGATCAGAACAATCAAATCCCTCTGGTTTGCTTTCATTATATATATAAATGATAATTCCTTTATCATGTGTGTCTATTCTGCATTTGTTTTTAAACAACAAAACAGCAATGTAGAAATATAATAACTTAATTTTATTGTATTTTTTTTCTCTCCGACGTACAGCTTGTTCAGACATTTTTTCATATTTGTTGTTAAACATGGACAATCAACGTTAACTGATTATGGAAGTAGTTGCAAATTCATACATCATGCTGAATGCAAGTAGCCTAATATCATTCATCAATGATGGGGTTTCCTCCTGTTCTGAAATAACTAATACAAATTGTAAGAACTAATGTTGTTATGCCATGAAAAACACATGACATTAACACAACTGTTACTGCCTCCATGTTTTATGAATCTTTTTCCAGTTGCTGTTGTGTTTGTGCTGTTAGTAATTATTGTGTCCCTCCATAAGGTGGTGCTCACGAGGGGCTGCAGCACCTCGGCCCCTTTGGAAACATCCCTAACATTGTGGCCGAGCTGACTGGAGACAACGTTCCCAAAGACTTCAGCGAGGATCACGGGTACCCAGACCCTCCGAACCCCTGTCCTCTGGAGAAGACAGGTAGGATATAATTACATAATGTATAAACAAACTAATGTCTCAGTATGAACATGGGGGCAGATGTTTAGTTGACGCCACAGGGCTGGTTCTGTCTGTTATTTATTGAATTGATCTGCTGTTTTTTTAACATACGTTTCTGCATCCTTTGACACCAACAGCAGCAGACGGCTGTTTGGAAAACGCTCCGGACACAGCCGAGTTCAGCAGAGAGTTTCAGAAACACCAGCACCTGTTTGACCCCGAGCACGACTACCCAGCGCTGGCTAAGTGGGTGAGTACAGAGCAGGAGTGTAAACTTCACTAAATGTCTTTGTGATTTGCATGGATTCATCCCTGAATGTTTGTCTGCTCAGGCGATTTGTTGACTGTAATTTAGAAACAAAGACTCTGGCTGTAGAAGAAAGGCAAACATGATTTAATGTCTGAAGATGTTTGTTTTTTTCTGTGTTTCCTTTCAGAACAAGGAGCTTTTGTATCAGAAACTGAAGGGTGGACCCAAAAGAAGAAAAAGGGTATCATGTTTGTTGTCTTCTTCCTTTGTAGCATTGTGTCTGAGAAACCACATCACCAGCGCTGACATCTGTCCCAGAGCAGAGCGATGTACTCTGAAAGGAAGACTGCGAACACAAAATATACAACACATTTGTATAACTAAATCACTCACCCCACAATACCTTACATTTTTTCTAGCATGCTTTTATGATACGAAATCCAAAAACTGTATTTAAAGAATTTTCCTCAATTTCTGGAATTTTCTGAGGACACATGCCAGACATACAGTGGGGCAAAAAAGTATTTAGTCAGCCACCAATTGTGCAAGTTCTCCCACTTAAAAAGATGAGAGGCCTGTAATTTTCATCCTAGGTATACCTCAACTATGTGAGACAAAATGAGAAATAAAAATCCAGAAAATCACATTTCTGATTTTTTTTAAAGAATTTATTTGCAAATTATGGTGGAAAATAAGTATTTGGTCACCTACAAACAAACAAGATTTCGGGCTCTCACAGACCTCCTTCCATCAGCAAGGGCATTGAAGATGAAACGTGGCTGGGTCTTTCAGCATGACAATGATCCCAAACACATCGCCCCGGCAACGAAGGAGTGGTTTCGTAAGAAGCATTTCTAGGTCCTGGAGTGGCCTAGCCAGTCTCCAGATCTCAACCCCATAGAAAATCTTTGGAGGGAGTTGAAAGTCCGTGTTGCTCAGCGACAGCCCCCAAAATATTTGATTTTCTTTTTTCTTATTTTGTCTCTCATAGTTGAAGTGTACCTAGGAGGAAAATTACAGGCCTCTCTCATCTTTTTAAGTGGGAGAACTTGCACAATTGGTGGCTGACTAAATACTTTTTTGCCCCACGGTACAAAGTGTTCTTTAGGAATTCAAGGTTACACATAGGTGATTTATTATACCTACAAATAATCCTTTTGGGGATGAAGTATTCCTTTAACCTTACCTTTTGTAATTTTGCAAGCTAAAAACCTAACTTTCAGATGTTCTCACTTGGTCAGATTATAGGTAATTGTGTTCATGTTTAGAGTATGAATAGCAACATGTTTCTCCGCCTCCCTGCAGAGCGTGAACCCGTACCTGATGGGCCAGAGGCTGGACAACGTGGTCGCCAAAAAGTCTGTTCCTCACTTCTCTGAGGAAGAGGAGGAAGCGGCACCGACGGTCCTCTGCTGCCAGCAGAACCAGCACCTAAACTCCTGCAGCACTCTGTAATATTTACTATACTTCCAGAAACAAGTTTTTAACTGTGTGTTTAAATCTTGATTGGCAGTGTACATTATACCTAGAAATGTATTATGAGTTGAATATGGATCTGGGGGAATGTTGAATAAGATGGTAATTCTTATTCATGACTGTACAGAAATGAATTAACTCACTCTGAAGTTAGGTTTTTTGTATGTCTTGATATTTCCAGTTAATCACATCTGAAGCAAAGATTCAATATAAGTCACATTAATCTTGGAAGCAAAGTAGCGGCTTTGCTTCGTCTTGTGAAGGATGATTTTAAACTCCACTGTAGCATGGTAAATACTGTAGCTATTCTACTGATCTGCTTCTGTCACCATACTGCAGTCTCTAATGTTTGTGTTATGTTTGTGTTCTGTAAAGTCAAATAAACGATTTATCTGCATTGAAAAAGTTTTGGAAGTGTTTTATTTTACAATTCCAATCCAGACAGATGAGGTGAGGGTCAGAGTTTGAGAAGGGGGGAGGGGGGAGGGGGGCGTGTTCAGATGAAGCTCTGTTGCTCAAGACAGTTTAGAAAAGCCCTCAGTGAGTCATTCATAAGCCACTACAGAGGAGGAGAGACCTGAAGAAGAAACCCACGCTGTGACTGACTGGATAACGTTTTGTATTGAGGAGCTTACATAAACAGGTAACTCAACTTTAGTAACTGCTGATTGTGTTTGATTGAACTTCTAAATTATCTTTTTTTTTTGGTGCGTAATGTAAAAGCTGTGCGTATATCCACACGAATTTCGTAAAATGATTACCAATGACTGACACGTTTTTTCTCTTTTAGTTTCAAATATGACAACACCATCAATTATGATCTCTGCAGCCGTTTTGGTGCTTTTGCTCGCGGAAGCTTCCACTTTTCAAGGCGCATTCCCCCACCCAAACAAATACAACCCAAACGAATCGGATGGATGCCAACAGCCCGCCATCAGTGGAATACTTACCCGCGGACCGGGGCCTGTCACCGCCACCGACGAGGTGCTGGAGTCCAGTCAGGAGGCTCTGCACGTCACGGAGCGCCGGTACCTGCGGCTGGACTGGTGCAAGACGCAGCCGCTGAAGCAGACGATCCAGGAGGAGGGCTGCCTGAGCCGCACCATCATCAACCGGTTCTGCTACGGACAGTGCAACTCCTTCTACATCCCGAGGCATAACTACCAGGACGGAGAAGCCTTTCAGTCCTGCTCTGCCTGCAAACCCAAAACCTTCAGCACCGTCACCTACACCCTCTACTGCCCGGGCCAGACACCCAGCACCAGGAAGAAACGGATCCAGCGCGTAAAGCAGTGTCGTTGCACCACGATAGATACGGATTAGACGGGAAACTGTCACAAATCAAGGTTGTAAATACCCGATTCCACTGGAGGGAGACTGCATCATTGCAAAAAACAACAACTGGAAAGTGTATTTTTATTTAAAGGACACATGGGAAACAGTTGGAATAATAAGGCGAAGAAGTAACCTGAGCCCTTGTTGTCATTGTAAAGGAGAGAAGATGAATATACAAACGTGGTTGATTCCATGTATTTCTCCCTTTTCTCTCTAAAATAGATGATACTTTAAGCTGTAATCAATAATTCCTCACATTGTCCAAATATCTCATCTATCATTCATCAGTCATTGCTTTCACAAAAACAGCTTTTCCTTTATCACATTTGGAAGATGTGTTATTATTATGCAGTATTGCCACTGATGATCATATTAGCATGCAGGCTGATGGATCATCTGATTATAAAGACATTTGTTCCAAGGATTGGGATGGTTTTATTGTTTCCACTGTGTGGGATGTTAAGCTCATCATGATTTATTATTTGTACAACCTGCACTGCTAAATGCCACTTCTTTTATTTTACAACTGTGTATAATATGTGTATCACGTCTTGTAAAGTTGCTCATAAATAAAACACACTATGAAATCATGTATTTTTCTAATCAGTGATTTTATTCGTAGAAAAATGAGGATTAGAGATGCAAATCATTGGCTTAGAAAGTTCAATAGACAAATATAAATATAGCACTATGGTTTATAATATTACACTCTAAATATTGCACGTTAAAATCTGTCAAATCAAAGTTCATTTCGGGTGGCAAATATTTAACAAAACTGATAGATTTCTTTAGGTAAAAGTGACAAAACATTGTTTAAACCCATTCATTTATCTTGTTTGAATGAATAAACTGTTCATTTGGTATCATGGTCCATTTCCAGTCCAACCCAAGATGGTTTTATTGATCCGGATCAGTCAGCTTTATGTTTCTTCTCTCTTAAACCGAGGAGATGTTGGATTCTTTCTGACGCAGTCTCTCTTTCTGTTGGTGGTAAAATGTGTGTTATCAATTCTGACAAAATATAATCTGGACATCAAAGCAGAAAGAAGTGTTTTGAATGATGTGCTTAGTGAGACAGAGAGTAAGAGCATGAGTTTACTTCTGTATGTGTATTTATTTATCTGCATTGCATGGTTTAGGAAATGCATTTATTTAGAGTCAAAACTGTAACTGTGTCAAATCTTACCAGACTGTTGGGGTTGATCTTTCTGGTCTCCACCTTCTTCTCCGATGTGATCCTCTTCACTGACAGCTGAGCCTCTTTTAATCTGCAAAAACAAGGTGTTAAGTTCATTGGTTCAATGGTTTGACTTAGTATTAGAAATCAAATTCTTTAGAGTATAAATTCAAAGTATCGACTAGATTTGACATGACTAATAAATTCAGTCAAATTAGTTCAATCAAACCAAAAAAAGGAACGCAGATTTACTCAATGACTGTTTACAAATCTGTTGTGTTCAATACAGAGCTCAGAGAGCGCAGACAGACCTATCTCGCAATGTCAATGAAAGGGTCAAATCCTTTGTGTAACAACCCAGGGATCACCTCCAATTGAATGGGTTTACTTTGGCCCATGCTACAACGCTCAACAAAGTTTCATGGAAATTGGGCGGGTAGTATTTATGTAATACTGCAGACAGACAAACAAACCTGAAAGAAATAAAGAGAGGATCCTGCTTATTACAAACAGAAGATGCACGTGCGTATATCGGATACCTTTCATTTGAGATGTTCTTGTTCTCCCTCTTCCACCTGGTTTTGAAGTCGGCACAAAACTCAAACCAGAGCATGAAGAGATGCCCGGCCGTCACCTCCTTCTCTCCTGACTTAGGCTTCAGTCCAAAGTACAGAGTCAAGTCCTGAAAACTGAACAAGTTAACTGAAATTTAAATAATTTCCACACGCGTTCATAGATTGCTTTTTTTCCTACGGTAAAAATATTTGTGGCTGCTCATGTCGACAATTATTTTTTTAATCAAATTCAAACAAAGCACTGTATGGTGCACACAAAATATGGTTTAATTCTCACACCTTTTTTGTACAGTCATCAACTGATAAGACGCCTCCGCGTGTTCTTTACGTGCTGCAAAGAAAGAGAAAAGGAAACAGTTTAGTTATGAGCAGACTCAGCCTCAAAAACATAACCCTCACCCTAATCATATGGAGCTTATATGGATATAAATACATGTAAAAGACAATATGAATATCTTATGTTGATGATCTTCTAAATGAAGCTATTAGCCACTTTGTTTAGATTACTTAATTTTATTCTGCTACCATTTTAGACCAATTTTTTAAATATATTTTTCAACAAAGACACAATGTCATAAGACTTGCTTTCATTGTTTGGTGAATCTGTGATGTTAAAATCTTCCAAAATGTTTGTATGAGAAATATGTGCTCCATGTGTTTGAAATGACAAATAAAGCTTGAAAATTTAGTACACCGTATTTAATACAGTTTATTTGGTCTTTTATTATTTTACAGCGAGTTCACATCTTGTTATGTTGCAGCCTTATGCATAAATGTATTTGCCCACATACATTTGTCCACAATTCATCATAACAACAGGAAAAATATTCTAGAAATCTTTGCAAATGTGTTCAAACGATAAACTGAAAGTTGACCCTTTACTATGAAACAGGTGCCTCTCATTCCTTTTAATCATCCGTGACATGTTTCTCCACCTTGTTCGGAGTGCACCTGTGGTGATTCAACTACTAATTGCACCTAATTAGGAAAGGCACACAACTGTCTATAAAAAGGTCTCACAGCTGACCAATCAGATCAAAAATCTAGGACATGTGGTCGAAGTGTGTCGAGGCGCAGATCACAGAAATACATCTAAAATCCTGCTTTGTCATCATGGGATACTGAGTTTAGATGAAGAGTAACAGTGTATTTTAAGGTGTTAAAGCGTTAGCCTGCAACCTTACAAAAAGGGAATAGTTAAAGGTCCCATGTCATGGGCATTTCTACTGATCATAACTCCATTGTTGAGGTATACTAGAATAGATTTATATTGTTCAATTTTCCAAACTCACATTGGTTTCTCATACAGCATCTCTGTATAGTATGTGTATTCACTCTCTGTCCTAAACGGCTCGTTGGAGCTCCGCCCCCCCCTCCCTGTGAGCCCACTGTGCTCTGATTGGTCAGCTCGCCCACTCTGTTCTGATGAGACCACCACCGTTACAGCGGAACATCAGTGATTACATGTTACAATGGCGTGTGTTAGCAACCAGAAAATGAAACCAGTAAGGACAAACAGATGAGAATGCTGCGTGGGGTCTGGGTGCCGTGTTGGCGGGACGTTGCGAGGCTCGCTGCTGCTGCAATGTGGACAGTGTGAGCTGGGTTCCTCTCCTGCTTGCTGCGTGGGGTCTGCGAGACAGCGAGACATCGCGAATGGACGCGGGAAGGGGGGGTGCTGCAGAACCCCTATCTGCGATGTTCCACTAGCACACGCACCCCCAAAGGCGGCGCACCTACAGTGTAAGCGCGCCACAGTTTTGCCGCTGAGAGTGTGTGTGTGTGAGGAGCTCCACGGATTGGTCCATTTGGAAAAAGCTACATAACACACAAGGGGACGGGTAATAACCGGAAAAGCATGACAAGGGACCTTTAAGGTCTGAATACTTCCTCGATGCCCTGTATATCAAATGAAACACATGTGAGACAAGGGACAAAAGATCCAACAAAAGTCTAGAGTTTTCTGGTTGAAACTCTTTACTTTGAAGCTTTGGGGTGTCACTTTTCATCACACAGAAAAAGTGATTATATTCAAAACAAGAAACTAAAATCCATCCGTGCCATTTGAAATCCTTGTGAGGGGAACTGAGTGTGATTCATCCTGACACTGGGTCAAAATAAAAACCCTACAACATGAGTTAGTTTGATGAATATGTCCCAGAGCCGGTGTGTCTCAGCCGTCTCTAAGTCATTGCCAAATCTGCCTGATCCCTATCTGCGTGTCTAGCCTTTACTCTGAATCCTCCCTATCTGTCCTTTACGAACACAGACGGTACCAAGATTTATCTGACTGCTAAAAACAATAAACTAGTTCAGATGAAGCATAGGGAGAAAGAAATGGTAGAGTGGACAGATTCCTTATTATATGACCATTCTCATATTAAATTAAGTAATCGGAACTCAGGAGTTAAAAAGGCCCTATTATGCTTACTGATGTTTTCCCTCTCATGTAGGTTGTAATATAGGTGCATGTAAATGGTCTGCAAAGGCTCAAATCCCAAAGTTCTCTCTCCCACACTCTCAAATGAAATGCCTACATTGGACTCCGTAACACAGTGACATGACTATGTAACACTCGCACTACTTTTAGATAGCTCTCCAACACATTGTACGTGATAAGCAAAGGGGCGGGACATCTCTAAGCTGTTGACCGCTAACCAATCAGAGCAGACTCTGGTTTCAGACAGAGGGTGAAAAGAGCTGCTGCAGTACAAGACAAAAAATAAAGACCTTTTTGATAATTACACAATGTAAACATTTCACAGTAGAAGTTCACATTTGAACCTGAAAATTAGTATAAACGGACCCCTTTAAATATTTTCAGTACTTCAAAATATTCCCTTTGAGCCCTTAACCCTTGTGTTGTGTTCAAAAGCTGTTACCGTTCATGGTTTTTCGCGGATCAATTTTGACCCATGATTTATCTCAGTCCAAAACACACACGAAAATTTTTTTTATCATCCAATATTGCTTTACCTACATCATAACTAACTTACAACAAAACACATCACACCACATATTGCACACGTGCATGTGTGTGTTCAGGTTCAAGTGTTAGTGTACATATTCTTTGAGAAAGGTCGAGTTCCCGTGGGGGGAGGGGGGCAGAGGGAGGGGAGACCAGGTGCATGTTGCGAAAAATTATTGTTACAGCGGATGAAGGGGGTGGGGGAGGGGTGTCTAAAGTCAAAGATGCATCTTGATTGGGCCAAATTTGACCCCGAGTGACCCAAAACAATTCTGCTGGGTCTCCCCAGACCCGAACACCAAATTATACACTTTTTTTTTAGAGACCTTCAGACTTGGCAAAAATGCTCAAAATCAGTTTTGTAGTGTTTATATAGCTGTTGTGGAGGATATCATGAAGCCTTGTTTGTCACGATATTCATGTTATGTCACGTTTTTATGTCTAGGTTTGGGTGTTTTGCTGTTCTCCCTGTCATGTGTTCCTACTGGTTTATTGTCTGGTCCTTTTCCCTGTGTTGTTCCTCCTGTCGTTAGTTTCCCTGGTGTGTCTGATTGTCTGATTGTGTTCACCTGTTGCCCTTGTGTGTCTCCTCCCCTGCCCGGCTGTTTCTCGTCTTGTGATTACCCCTCCCTGTATTTAGTCTTGTCTCTTCCTGTGTTCAGTGTTGGTTCGTCTTTTGTTGGTGACTGAGTTCACCGTGGAGTGTTTAGTTTGTCCAAGTTATACTTTAAGTCCTTGAAATAAAGGTATTATCAGTGTTATCTGCATTTGGGTCCTGCCTGCTTCACTCTTCTAACATTGTTCCGATAAAAAGAACTAGAGCGTAGTTATTATATCATTTTAACTTGAAACGGGTCACGGGAGACGCGAACACAACATAAGGGTTCAATGTTTTCCTTTAGCAAGCACTCCAATGTACCGCATCGTTGAACCCATAAGACTAGTTTTAAATTACACCTAGTCGTGTTTGAAACAACTCACCCCTGAGAACAAAAGCCTCCATCTTGTCTTTAAACGGCTGCAGGTTTTCTTCAGGAGAATCAGAGCAAACGTTCCTTACATCTTTCTCACATCCTGGTGACAAAACAGAAACAAGAAAGGATTGGAAAATACACTCAACATTTATTTCTATATCTAATGAATTGTGTTTAAGAAGAGACAATGTGTAGCTGCGAAGGAAAGAGACAACACGATGACTTTTATATTATCTAGGGATACTTGGTCATTATTTGCAGAACTTAGTAAATGTTTTGAGAACGTTTTAATTTTGTTGTGATACATTCATTATTATTTTTGAGTTTTCATTATATTGGGACATTAAGTCATTACTTTGAGATGTTTTTTGTTATTTTCAGGTACTAAGACGTTTTTTTAAGAATGCTAAGTCTCAGTTTACAACTTTTATTTGGTTTTTTCCAAAGAGACGAGCTTCCATAAAGGGGAGAAGTGGTTCTGGGTTAAACTAGCTCCACCTGTGCCGAGCCTAGCTTCCTCTTTAGATATCACTCGCTGAGATTCACCCAGAGATGGCGACTGCTTCCCTCTCTGCCTCCTTCCCTCTCCCTCTCTCCATGTTGCTCTGCGTCCAATCAGTGGATCAGAGGAGCCAGTCTGCAGAGCCAGTCATAATAGAGGCTGCAGAGGGAGCCGAGACCCTGCACCCCCCACCACCCTGACGCTCGATCAACATCTCGCAGATAAGATTACAAAAGAATACTGTTTTCATTCAGGATTTGTGTAAACTGTGGAGGCGGGTATCTCTCCCTCTCCTTTCTTTCCTTTGACGGCCCTTTGTGTTCAGCAGAAGTTTGCTTATGTCAGACCGAAGAGGATTATAGACCCTCAAATAAACAGAGCGTGCTCATGAGGAGTGTTGGGCGTTCAGATGTGAGACTGAAGAAGTTGCTTTCATAGTGAGAAGATTTGTAGGTTTTGGTGGTTTACACGAGTAACCTCATCAATCACAGCAAAATCAAGGAAACCAAACTCAGGCTGAAGTACGGAAAGACTATGGAAGCAACCAATATTTCACTTGGCCAATGAATGGAAGAGAAAATCGTTTCACTGCTTTGCAAATAAAGAAAGATCCTTACTTCCATAGTCCATGTATGATACTGGAAATTCAAACAATATTGTAAGAGCAACACATTCAAATGATAATGGAAATGAAGCTAGCGAGTATTTAAAAGGCTTAGCTCACCCAAAATACAAAACAATAGTCTACATGTAAATTAGGCATGGCAGTACCCTAAATGCTCCATCTTTTGATGTGTAGGTATAATGTTAACCATTCTAAGGTTAGCTTACATGCTAACTTGCATTAAGAAACAAGGTAGAACTGAGGATGAGTTTAATGGGTTGGACACATTTCTGACCTGGTGCTACCAGACCTATGACAAATCTTCCTGAAGGTAATCAGGATTATGGCAATCCATCTAATAGTTCTCTAGAGAGGTGAAGTCCCTCCCTTTCCGGGGGACCTCCATGGGACCTTATTTCGGAAAAATTATGTATTGAAGTCAATGGAGAGAGAAAGATTATCTTTCGATCCCGTTTGAATTGTGCCACGAATTACACATATGATGTTTGTCAATTTAAAAGATAATTTTACAAGTCAAAAAAATAAAAATGTGTCGTAAAACTGTGAAGTAACACTTTTTTTTGTGTGAAACCGCTCAATGAACTACATCTCCCATCTCGCACCACACACCAAGACGGCCGTCACGTTGGCACATTTCACTTCCTTCTTTCAGAATGAGGCTGAAAGTATTAAAAGAGGTGAAAATCACTCCAAGTCTGGGCATGTTGAGAGCTGTACATACACACAAGGGGAGTTAGTCGGTTCCATAAGAGCCAGCATGCGGGACCGGGATTCTGGGATTTGTAGTCTTTCTAGTTACGTATTTTTCATAGTCTTATATTTCAACAGTTTTAAGACAAAATTATTTTTTAAGATTGACAAACATCATATGTGTAATTCGTGTCACAATTCAAACGGGATTGAAAGATAATCTTTCTCTCTCCGTTGACTTCAATACATAATTTTTCCGAAATAAGGTCCCATGGGTCGGAAGTAGATGGGCGGGACTTCGCCTCTCTATAGACATTAGACCAAAAAACAAAAATGATAACTACATAGTAGCTCTCCTGGAGAACCGTGGATTGACATTTACCTTGTTAATTTGCTATTAGAAGAAGGTCTTTTTATGTCTTTGGATCTCCTTTCCGTCAACAGTCAACATGGATGACTTAAGAGAAGCTAATCTCCCTGTAACTTTGTTGGCAAACATTTCATACCAAGCAAACCGAAAACACAGGGAGAGTGAAGAACGACAGAAACCAAACATGAGGGCGGTTCAAACGGGCAGAACAAAAGGAATCTGCGCCAGGCCATCGAGATTGCACGGTGGTTTGGGTAGACGGGCGATAAGACAAAGCTGTGTTGAGAGGTAAAGAAAGCTGTCTGCGCTCACATCTGGGCGGCCACACTGGAGCCCAGTGATACAGTCGGGCAGGTTAAGGATCCGTGCATCTCTGCAGAGATACTGGAGGTCTGGAGATTACACAAGTGGGAAGCTATGTTCTCCCTGCGCTGGCGACAGTAGCACAAAGGCCCTCCGATGTGAGATCTGATGGGCAGGAGGATTAGAAGCTGGATCTGAAAGGCGCCAGGCCTGTATCAGCAGAAAGACTCTGAATACACGCACAGCGAAGTGCAGGCAACAACACATGTATACATAAGGACACAACAATGCACCCACTCACAATCGCACACATGTAAGAGTAAGCATTGTCCTGGACGTGACTTTAACTGGCTGGCATTGCTGAGTGGCGTCATATGGGCACACTTAGAGAGAGAAAGAAACAGCGAGGAGAGTTAGAAAGACGAGAGGAAATCTTTTGTTCTGGAGCTTTAGCAAACTCAAGATCGATAAAAGAAGCAGTCCTAAGTATAAACAGTTACTCAATGGCTGGGGCCGGTGATGGGAAACCAGGGTGGTGAGTTGTGTGTGTGTGTGTGTGTGTGTGTGTGTGTGTGTGTGTGTGTGTGTGTGTGTGTGTGTGTGTGTGTGTGTGTGTGTGTGTGTGTGTGTGTGTGTGTGTGAGGGGGTGTGTGTGTGTGTGGTGTGTGTGTGTGGTGTGTGTCGTGTGTGTGTGGTGTGTGTGTGTGTGTGTGTGTGGTGTTGAGGGGGGGTGTCTGAAGAAACGATGCCAGACTGGTGGGGGCCGAGGTTTAGTCTGTGGGAAACTCTCAAACATCTAGAGTGATAGAGTTTACACAGCCAGCCTGAGGTTTTAACACAAAAAACAACAAAATGACCACAGGCGAGACTATTCCGGTCGCCAGTCACACGGACGCTGAGCTCAAAGAGGAGCTCATGGTTGGGGATTATTCCAATGTAATAATATTATGAACCGAGAGGAGTTTTGATATTTATTGCTCGAAGAAGATGGAATAGATAGAAGGTTGCAGTTGTGTCGTCAACAATACTTTCAAGATCTCGTCCGAGCTGTCCAGGTCTCTGTTCAGAGTCTCAAGCTTGACCTGTGCAGCCAGGAAGAGGTCCTGAGGTTCAGGAAGTGGGAATACATCTTGTCTGTGCCCGGCGTTCTGGTGGGATAACAATCAAACACACATGNAAACAGTAATGGTCCAAGAATGGAACCTTGTGGAACCCCAACAGGGTTGACAAGGTAGGGGGATTTGACACCGTTGACCAAAACACACTGTTTTCTGTTAGATAAGTAAGACTTAAACCAATGTATAGAAACTGCAGAAAAATTGAAATGAGTCAGCTTTGTAAGGAGCACTTGGTGGTTAACAGAGTCAAAAGCCTTCCTGAGATCAAGGAAGACAGCACCTACATATGGGCTCGTGTCCGACATACATTTAACCTTTTCCACAAAGACACAGTTAGCTGTCTCAGTGGAGTGGTGAGCACGGAAACCAAACTGCATTGGGTGGAGTGGAGCGAAACCTTTGTCTACATCTTTGGTGATTAGTTTTGATACCCATTTCTCAGCTATCTTAGACCCCATTTACACGCAACCGCAAATGCATACGAAACTCAAACGAACCAAATACGAGACGCTGTAGTACATATGCCAGGCCTGTAAGTGGCACCATGCACAAAATACACCAAAAGGCGCCACAAAATACACCAAAAGCAGGTAGCCATGGTTGCCCTTCTGTTCATGCCCCGCGGTGGATTTAGCAACATGTAGTTCATGTAATTCTCCATGTCCACTTGTTGCTGATGGCTGTGGCAGAGGAGCTGTAGATGTTGCACTAACAGATGTTAGTGCAACATCTACAGCTCCTCTGCCACAGCCATCAGCAACAAGTGGACATGGAGAATTACATGAACTACATGTTGCTAAATCCACCGCGGGGCATGNTGTGCAAATGTATGCCGATGATGCGGTCATCTTTATACACAGGAAGAGCACTGAAATTATCTCATGTTGTCTCTCAAAAGCTTTGGACGAGGTTCAACACTGACTGAACAACATTTGCTTACAGTTAAACATAAGAAACACAGTATGCATGATGTGCCGTAAACGACCAGTCAAAATCGAAGGATCCAATGTGTTTTTAAACGGAGCAGAAATAGAACTAGTCTCCCAGTTCAAGTACCTTGGAGTCATATTGGACTCAAACTTGACTTTTAAGAAACATATTAAGAAAGTATCAAATACCATTAAATTCAACTTGCAAAATCTAAAACAAATTAGACCTTTCTTAAAGGTCCCATGTCATGGCCATTTCTACTGATCATATTTTCATTGTTTAGGTATACTAGAATAGATTTAAATTGTTAGTGTGTGTGTGTGTGTGTGTGTGTGTGTGTGTGTGTTGTGTGTGGTGTGTGTGTGTGTGTGTGTGTGTGTGTGTGTGTGTGTGTGTGTGTGTGTGTGTGTGTGTGTGTGTGTGTGTGTGTGTGTGTGTGTGTGTGTGTGTGTGTAGGTCAGTAAGTCAGTGTCCTTTCCCACACGCTGCCCTTTGATCAAAGGGCCACATTCAGTTCGCCCACGGCATGTGTCTGAGCCATATGAAGAGTGGGTGTACTCCCTGTGTGCGTGTGTGTGTGTTTGTGTGTAGGCTGAGATGGATAGGCCCTGTGCTCTCACTGAAATCGCCATGGCTAATAGGCACACGGGCCAGCGGGGATGGACACGCATCCGACCGGGCTGGGTTATGTCACGGAGACCAAACACCTCTCACCGGCCTTCGTCAGGAGTCACGAAAACACAAATCTTTGTAAGAGAAAAAGCATATTGGGCCAACAAATCGCTCGCAACACACTTTGGCAGATTCATTTGGCAGAGTAAAAGGGATTGATCTGAGCATGGCAATTAGGCAAATTTCAGAACTAAGCATCTGGCGAGGCGAGAACGCTTCGCCTGGCAGAGGATTACCATTTTAGTTCCATTTTGAAACGACGCAGCCCAGAATGTGTTATTTCACAGCACTCCAGCAGCACAGGCGAACGCGGCACATGAGGGATCTTCGTGCTGCGTTTATGTTGTGTATGTTGATTTCACGACCTGCAAAGTAAGAGTAGTGCTTTGATTAATGACGATTAAGTTTAATATGTGTGTACGCAGCCGTGGCGGCCCGACTTCCCTTTCCCCGGCCTTTATGAAAATGAATCGTCGGGGTAAAATTCCTGGGGTGATAGCAGCCTGCCGATGAGCTTGCTTTCTGAAGTAGGCTGATATAAATGAGAACCATTCCCCCAATTACGGAAGATTAGGTTACCCTCCACCAATCTGAATCCTTAAATCCCTTCTGTTTTTACAGCTCTGTCTGCCGAATGTAATTCAGCCGCGAGACCTGGGCAGAATAGCAATAAAAGAAAGGTAGAAACTTTTGCAGTGAAACCCAGGCAGTAAAAATATCCGGTGGGAGAGAGCTAAAGCACATGATAATTGACACAGCGCTGTGTTGCACTTGGCTGTAATTAACTGTGTTACAGAGGTTGTCAGTTGGAAAGGGAGAAAGCCCAGACTTATCTTAGTGCATTTAACACACTTAAAAGTGCAACATTTATCGTGTCTTCCCAGCTTTCTCCGGGGGAGCGTTTCAGGTTAGCCTCTCTGCTGCATTCATCTAGATCTTGTACAGGCCCAGTCAGACATTATACTTCCTTTATCCTTACCACCACAGTTTGAACACATGAACAAAATCAAAAGGAGCAATTGTTTTTCTAGGGCGAGCGGAAAAAAAAGAACAAAAAAAGCTTATCATCTATTTTTAGTGTGCTTTTCCTCATTGTTGCCTGGGCCACGATTCATGCTTACGTCTAGTGGTTGTGTGCCATAAACTATGTTGTGCTTCGCAGCCAGGCGCTAGCTGGTGACAACTCTCACCCACACATTAGTGATCTATGAGCCATATACCACCGGCCCCCTGCTGCCTCGCCAGACGCTTTCCAACGCACAGGACCACAACAATGTCATTCCCCCCGTGTGATAGCACCCATATGTGTCGAGAGCACCTGTATTAGCGTAATGCGCCAAGCGTTTATTTCTCATCACTTATCACAACGCTACATGCTGTACCGAAAAAAGGGGGGGGGGAAGCTCATAAAGATAAGAATCACATTTCACTAGAGGGTGCTTGTGTGACAGTGATATATGCTGTGAGCATCCTACCACCTCATTGAGATGGGAGTGAGTTCTGGGTGGCTAAATCAATTTGTGCAAAGGCTGATGGCGCTCGTATTGGTGTCGTGATATGATCTTTGCCGTCCATTTTTAGAGGTCAGCGCGAGCGAAACAACAAGGGCAAAATAATCTGACCGCTTTCTCTCTTGTTTCAAGCCTCGTAAATGATCTCGCCCAAGAGGATTGTGGGTAAAGTCACTCTTGTTTGTTTTTTTTCTCCCCAGGTTTAGACACTATGGATTCTCTATTAAGAATGTACTTTCATCCATTACCGCACGCGTCCTGATAGAGTGTCCAGACCCAGAGGCGAGTGCCGTCCATGCATTAATCGCTGTAATTACTCAATGAGGGTGACAGTCATTGTGGTGGTGCGTCTCACACTATATACCAGTAAAGGACTGGGGGTGGGTTGTGGTAGACCAGTCGATAGGTGAACCTGACTCCCTCTAATGTTAAAGATCTGTCTATAGGTAGAAAAAAAAGAGAGGAAATGCTTTAAGATGTGTCAGCAAGTCAGGCAATTTCCTCATGTCCATCTCATGAGGTATGACATTGTGTGTGATACCGTAGAAAAGCCATAATATTAGCTGGAAATAGCACAGCTTTAACAAATGATGTTCAGTCCATTTTTATGTGTTTCATATATCAAACCCAATGACAGTCATTTTTCAAGCTGTGTCAATGTATTAAATGGGTGTAGCATTGGTGTTACACAGGTCTTATAACACTGTAATATAGGTCTACTAACAGTTTAATATAGGTGTTAAAACAGTGTAACATTGTGTCACATGGGTATAATATGGGTGTACTAATGATGTTACATGGGTGTCATAGGGGTGTATTCATGTTTAATATGGGCGTAATGTGGGTCTAACAAGAGTGTAACATGGGTGTTATAGCAGTGTAACATGGTTATAATATAAATATAATACAGGTGTTATAATGGTGTAACATAGTTGTCAAAAGGGTGTATTGATTTATAATAATATGGGTCTAATAACAGTGTCATATGGGTGTAATAACAGTGTAACATGGGTACAATAAAGGAGTAATATTAGTGTAATAATATTGTAACATGGGTAGCTATGGAAGTAATAATGGTCTAACGTGTGTGATGGCCCATCTAAGGGTTAACGGATGCAATCAAATTAAATACAAAAAGAAGAGGCAAAGTTCACTTCAGCTTCACCATGGAAGACGTCAGAGTGCCGGCCACACTCTTTTACTGACTTGTGATCTCTAGGAAGTGCAGTGCAAAATCACCCCAGCAACGACTGCTTAGCAACAAAGATGTTGCCACCATAAAAAAAGAAAGACAAACCAAACAAAGAAAAAAACAACAACAAAAATATGGAGATTTAGGAATTTGTCAGTTGATTTAGTGCATCGGGATGTAATTCTGCCGCATTTGTTTTATGGCGCGGACCGTTGTGGCGTGTGCCAGACAGATGTTCAGTGTGAGAGATGATCGTAAAGAAAAGGAGGCGAGTGGTCAAATCAAGGCTGTCAAGTCAGGGAAATAAAAAGCGGAGGAGGGAGAGCTAAACATGCTGCAGCTTTGAAGGATCCTTATTGTCTGTACAAGGGCAACAGAGTTACTCTTTGTGTTGCGCCGCTGGAATGTGTGCTATAACGACGTGCCAGTTAATCAGAGTGCCATTGTTGGTCATAATAAGTGAATGGAGTTTAATAGGTGAATGTCTTTCCACTTCCTTTCTTATCTCGCAGTGACTTTCACTTTCTTGTACTGCCTGCAGCAAGTAATCATGGGAAATATACGACTCAGAGACATCGTTTTAATTAGGGGGATTTTTAGCATCATGGAGAGAATAAAAAAGGACATTTGAACATGTG